AGAGCTACAGCGTGTATGGGTACAAGTACAGCTGCAACTGCAGCTGCTGCAGCAGCAGCAACAGCTGCAGCAGCAGCAACAGCAGCAGCAGCAACAGCTGCAGCAGCAGCTACAGCAGCAGCAGCAACTACATACTAGTGTTTGCTGCTAGCGTTATAGTGTAGAAGGCAAAGAAGAGACGGCCTCGTATAAGGCTTTAGAGGCAGGCGAGTGCTGCTGAGGTCCTCAGGGGAGTTGCTGCTGCTGCTGCTGCTGCTGCAGCTGCTGCTGCAGCTGCTGCTGCAGGGGCGTTGCTGCTGCTGCTGCTGCTGCAGCTCGCCTGCTGCAGTCCTCAGGGGAGTTGCTGCTGCTGCAGCAGAGAGATGAGCAGCAGATACTATTCAAATTGTCTCTCTGTCACGGACTCAACTAAACGCTGCTGCTGCTGCAGCAGCAGCAGCAGCAGCAGCAGCAGCAACAGCAGCAGCAGCAGCAGGTTAGAATCCACAGAGTGCACTGGAGTGCTGCTGCAGCCAGAATTCGCATGCAACATCTTTTGCTGCTTCTTCTTCTGCTGCTTGTGCTTTGGCTTGTAAGTGTCTGAGCTTAACTACTGCGGTGTATATACAGCTCACGCCTACAATAGCTGCGTTGCTGCCGGCTAGCTGTCTACATACAACACGAAACCTACACCCTAGTGCCTGCAGCAGCAGCCTGGGCTTCACCCCCACCCGCTGCTGCAGCGCAGCAGCCAGAGGCACAGGCTCAACCAGAGCAGCAGCAAGACCACACACATCCTCCTCCTCAGCAGCAGCAGCAGCAGCAGCAGCAGCAGCAGCAGTACCTGCTGCAGCTAATCTCTTTCCTTTTAGGGCCCCCATCGATGCCTCTTCTTCTGGGGGCCCCTCCTCATCCCCCCACTCAGCCAGCGACCCCTGCGGCACCTGCAGCAGCAGCTGCCCTACCTGCACAGTTTCATACGATACACCAGCTGCTGCTGCTGCACCTCCTGCTGCTGCNTCCGCCGCGAGGAGCCCCGCCCAGAGCGGCCGCAGCGGGCTGCAGGCTGAGGGGCTCCTTTGGCCCCCCCAGCAGCAGCAGCAGCAGCTGCTGCTGCTGCTGCTGCTGCTGGCGCTCCACCATCCACTCCAGTAGTAGGCGGTCCTCCAGCAGCGCCTGCACTAGCAGCAGCAGGAGCAGAAGCAGCACCAGCACCAGCAGCACCAGCACCAGCACCAGCAGCAGCAGCAGCAGCAGCAGCAGCAGCAGCAGCAGCA